GTTGACGCTTGATGCTATTTTGAGCGCCCCGACCCCTTCTTGCTGTGCCACCAGCAGCGGCAAGGCTCTCCCAGGGCTCTGTCACACCCTGGGCATCAGCTTAGTGCTGGGCAGGAGGACCCTCTCCCACACCAGCACATCCCTTCCCCATCCCCACAACCCCAGGACCCCCCCCTGACCCCCCGCCATCAAAGGAAGTGCTGGAAACGGCGCTTGACCTCTGCCGGGAGTGCAGGAAACTCTGCGGCCGGCTTCGTCAGGCCAATTTGGAGAAGTGTTGGGGCAGCACGTTACGCCGTTGCCCAACTTTGGAGAAATTTACTGAAAACCCAGGGAGGGTCACGCAGGTCTGCTGTGGTTCCAGCCTGCGAAGAGTGTCTGTCTCTGGTCACCGCTGTGGTCAACAGCGAGGATTTCATCAGCTTGGGAAGCCAAGAAAGGTGACCACAAAGTACTGTGGCACCCAGGAAGGGATGCACCGAAGGTAGGAGAATATGAGAGCAGCCCCGAGGGATACATTTGCCAGACCCTTTTAAAAAGGCTTTATTTTTTTTTTTTTTCAAAATATACAGTTTATTTACAATTGTAGTGTCTACACTTTTTATATATAACTTTATTCCGAACCTTTAAATATCAGCAGTAAACATTAGAAAAAAAAAAATATAATAATAATCACAGGATCAGCAAAAAAAAAAAAAAAGGCATCTCGTAGCAATTCTGTTTCATTGGATGTTGAGTTTCAAGTAGTCACTGTCTACAAAAAACCGTGAACTTGACGAATCTGGCAGAAAGATACGGGGGCACCGGTTAGAATAAGGCAAAAATCCAGACCCATGGGGACCCCCACCCCAAGGGCTGCAGGTGGAGAAAACCCTGTGCTGGTTTCGGGGCCGGGAGAAGGACCCGGAATATGGAAGCCCCTCGGCATGAGTTAGATGACAAGGTTAACTGCAGCATGTTGGGCACCCCAGGGTGGGTGTCCAGGGACTTGGGGTGGAGGGGGGCTCTGGTGAGGTGCTGGGGTGGAGGAGGAGGACATTAGGCACTTCATCTCTCAGGCAGCAGACCTGCCCGTGCATCCGTGTCCTGGAGCGGGAGGGCGGCGAGGAAGGGGCAGGACCCCCTCCCAGGGAGCCCCGCAACCGCCTCCTTCCCCTTTCCCCACATCCTCGCCCCCCCCCAGCCCTCCATCCCCAATCCCCCATGGAGCACCACAGCTGGACCACGGGGATGCTCTGGTGTGTGGCCACAGCCCCCAGGAAGGTGGAGGAGTTGGGTGGTGGGCCAGCCGGCCTCCAGGAGGGCTAGGGAGGGATGGAGCTGGCAACCGGGCGCCGCGCTGGGACCGTCAATCCTCCTTCTCGAAGGTCTCCTCAGGGATGAGCGTCCGGAAGGGGTGATCCCAAAAGCGGGTGCTGATGCCAAAGCCTGTGGGGAGGGGAGAAGGGGCACCGCCGTCACCGGGATGCCACCGGGGACAGCACAACCCTCCACATTAACCAAGCTGGGGCCACCATTGCCAAGAAGGGCTGGGAGCAGCGGGCACGAGGGGCAGGTAACTGGGATGGGATGTCACCTGAAGGTGACATGAGGCTGACAGTGACACCAGGGCCAGGTGGTCCCCCTCCCCAGAGAGGCTGGTGAGGAAGGAGCGCTCATGTTTCAGGGAGGGAGGAAGGGCGAGGAGAAGGTGAGGAGGAACAGCAGAGGGAGCAGAAGGAGCTGGCTGGGCCATGCCACCAGCCCCGGCTTATCGGGACGGGGCGTTTTCTCCTAGGAAACCGGGCAAAGGGCAGGTTGAGCAAGCACCGGGGCTGGGGAAGGTGTGGGGCGGAACTGGGGAACCCCAGGGCCTCACCCCGTCTCCGCCAACGCCTCCCTCCCCAGCAGGAGGAGATGCTGCCCCGGGGAACCCACATCCTGGTGCCACCCCTGGAGGGGGGGGTTCTACCTCCGCCCTGGCATCCCCGGGGTGGCACTGATGCCCGCTGGCGAGGTTGGACTGCTGCCTTCGCCCCACCACTGCACCAGCCCCCCAGGTGGATGGAGGTCATCCTGCCCCTCTGCTCTGCCCTGGTGAGACCCCATCTGGAGCACTGGGACCAGTTCTGGGCTCCCCAGTTCCAGAAGGACAGGGAACTGCTGGAGAGGGGACAGCAGAGGCTACAGAGATGGTGAGGGGCCTGGAGCATCTCCCTTCTGAGGAGAGGCTGAGGGACTTGGGTCTTTTGAGTCTGGAGAAGAGAAGGCTGAGGGGGGATCTGATCAATGCTTCTAAATACTTAAAGGGAGGGTCTCAAGAGGACGGGGCCGGTCTTTTTTCAGTGGTGCCCAGGGACAGGACAAGAGGAAATGGGCACAAACTTGAATGTAAGAAGTTCCACCTAAAGATGAGGAGGAACTTCTTTGCTGTGAGGGTGGCAGAGCCCTGGCAGAGGCTGCCCAGGGAGGTGGTGGAGTCTCCTTCTCTGGAGACATTCCAAACCCTCCTGTGCACATTCCTGTGGGACCTGCTCTGGGTGGCCCTGCTTTGGCAGGGGGTTGGACTGGATGATCTCCAGAGGTCCCTTCCAACCACATGGGATTCTATGATTCTCAACCCTGGGGGGCTACGGCAAGTGGTACGTGTCTTCCCCAGCAACACGGCTCTTGGGTTTCCCCAAATCCCAAATATTTCAGAGCATCAGCTGCCCACGCGTGGGCAGGCTGGGCTCCGACAGCCCTTGCCCCCCACCGGCATGCGAGGGGTGGTGGAAAAAGGCAGCATTACCTGATTTTTGGTGTTCAAAGTGGTGCTTGACATGATAAGCCTTCAGTCCATACAGGTAGGTGCCCTTCTTTGGCGAGCCGTAGTGGAGGTAATAGTGCATCATGTCGTAGATGACGTAGCCGCAGAGCCCCCCGACGAACACCGAGAGCCCCAGCACCTCGGGCAGCATGAGCTTCAGGATGCCGTAGAAGAAGCCCATCACCAGCGAGGCTGGCACGGGAGGGAAGACCAGGCGGGAGCTGTCAAAGGGAGACTGGAAGCAGAGAAGGACAGTGGGACAGGCAGCTCCTCACTCACTCCACGTCCCCCCCAGCCCCCAAGAACACCCCTGCAAGGGGTGGTGAAACCCTGGCCCAGGTTGCCCAGAGAGTCCCCCATCCCTGGAGGGGTTCAAGGTCAGGCTTGATGAGGCTCTGAGTGACCTCATCACTCTAGTGATGAGGTCTAGTTGAAGATATGCATACAAATACCTAAGGGAGGGTGTCAGGAGGCTGGGACTGGTCTTTTTTCAGTGGTGCCCAGGGACAGGACAAGAGGAAATGGGCACAAACTTGAGTATAAGAAGTTCCACCTAAACATGAGGAGGAACTTCTTTGCTGTGAGGGTGGCAGAGCCCTGGCAGAGGCTGCCCAGGGAGGTGGTGGAGTCTCCTTCTCTGGAGACATTCAAAGCCCACCTGGACACGTTCCTGTGGGACCTGCTCTGGGTGGCCCTGCTCTGGCAGGGGGTTGGACTAGATGATCTCCAGAGGTCCCTTTCAACCCCATGTCATTCTATGTCCCTGCACATTCCAACCCCATGGGATTCTATGATTCTATGTCCCTGCACGTTGCAGGGGGGTGGGACTAGATGACCTTTAAAGGTCCCTTCCAACCCAAACCATTCTGCGAGCGGGGACACCCATTTGGGAAAAACCAACACCGAGAAACCCTCCCCAGCAGCAAGACCAGCCCCTTGCCCACAACACCGAGGTGACCAGGTGGCTTTGGCTGGCAGGTCCCCGAGCTTCACAGGGGAACGTTTCCTCCAGTGAAGCTAGAGGGAGCCCATGGTTTTGTTTTGGTTTGGTTTTTTTCCCCAAGTCTTCCCCCTTGGCCCAACCAACCGGAGCTCGCAGGTTTGACTCCGGGCTCCTCCAAAAGCCCGTCTTGCAGCCCTCCCCGGTATTGGGTAAGGGCTCGGGGCGAAGATGCCACCGAGTCACGTTGAACACGCAGGGACGGGCTCCGCCTGAGCAAAGGGCAGCGGTTCCCACGGCCCCGAGGGAGGCGTGGGCTGCGACGCACCTTGTGATGCTGCCCGTGCAGCAAGAAGTGCAGCGTGATCAGATAGTAGTTGCTGGCGGGCGGCTTCATGTGGAAGACGAAGCGGTGGATGAGGTACTCGAGCAGGGACCACAGGAACATCCCCAGGAGGAAGATGAAGGGGAAGTAGTATTTGTGGACGGGGATGGAGTACTCTGCGCCGGGAAGAAGGGGCAGCGGTCGGCAGGTCAGGAGAGAGGGGCAGCTGCTCTTACCCATCGCCATCATCGGGGCCACGCTCAGCTCTCCCACCCTCTCATCCTCCTGCCCCGAGCTTCCCCAAGGACCTGCTTTCCCCAAGCATCTCTCCAAACCACATTTTCCCTTCTATTCCCATTAATTTACACTCTTTATGGCTGAGGGGAGACCTTATCAATGCTGACAAGTATCTCAAGGGTGGGTTGAAGGAGGAGGGAGCCAGACTCTTTTCAGTGGTTCCCAGTGACAGGACGAGGGGCAACGGGCACAAGCTGGAACAGAAGAGGTTCCACTCAAATATGAGGAGAAACTTCTTCACAGTGAGGGTGGCAGAGCCCTGGAAGAGGCTGCCCAGGGAGGGTGTGGAGTCCCCTTCCTTGGAGATTTTCAAGACCCGCCTGGATGCTCCTGAGTAACATGCTCTAGCTCTGGGCAATCCTGCTTCAGCAGGGGAGTTGGACTAGATGATCTCTATGGTCCCTTCCAACTCTAAAATTCAGTGAAATTCAGTGAAATTCTCGCTGCCGCAAGGAGCCGGCGAGGGGGGGGTTTCCCCTGCATCCCAGATGCCAACGGGGACCTGGCCGTGTCCTTACAAAGCTGCTTTGCCCGACAGAAGAAGGCAAGGGGGACCTTATCTGCGCAGGCAGAACTCGTGACAGTTCAAAGTGCGTTGCTGGCATTGTGTATTTTTTATGTTGGGGGGGGGGGAATAAAAAGAATAGGTTTGTTGGGCACTTTCCCCCGCAGAGCATTTCTCAGCCACCTCCTCCTTTCAGAGCCAGCTGCCAGCCCTGCGTCCTCGCTAGCAGAATTCAGATCCTCCACCCCCACCTCCACCCAGCAGATTAATTTTTTTTTGGGGGTGGAGGGGGGGGGGGAAAATAGAAATAATCCTTTGGCAGCAAGGTGCCGAATGCCCCAAGGAGGAGGGTGCAACAGGCGCTCCACCCCGCAGCCGGGCACAGCTGGCACAGGGTGGCACCTTGCAAAAAAAAAATAAAAAAAAAAATAGGGAGCCCAGCAAAAAAAAGGCAACAAAAAAATTAAAAAAAAAAAAAAAGCACAACAAAGAAGACAGGCTGCCCGGCTTGTTATTCCCGGGGGAGCAGACAGTGGGAGATTCAGGGGCAGAGGCTCTGGGCGAACAAGCCCTGCTCTGTGTGATGCCGGCGGCGCTGAGAGCCGGGTTTGTTCGCCCGCCACGCCAGCGGCCACCAGCCCGGTCCCAGGGTGGGTGGCAGCGGGGGGTGACACGCACCCCAGCGCCGGCTGGGATCGTTTTTGGGGATGGAGAAACCAGAGGGAGAGGGCTGCACCCCGGGGCCATTCCCTGTCTCCATCCATCCATCCCTCCCTCCCTCCTGGGGGACCGAATTGGGTGGGTGAGAGGAGAGGACGGAGGTGGGCAAGCTCAGGGTTTGGAGCAGCGCAGGTGGCATCACGCAGGGGACATGATGGTGGCCATGGGGATGGAGGGCTCGCCTGAAGCTCTTGCAGGTGGCTCACGGTGAGCATGCACTGATGGAGGGGTGGGGAAGGGATGCAGAGGTCTCCCTGCTGTCCCCGGCCACGATGCGGGGGGGACTGAGCTGAACCCAAAGGCTCCTCCACCGCTCCTACCTGTGGTGAAGGAGGAGAAGAGCCTGGTGTTGCCCTGGGCGAGGGAGGTGTAGCTGACCCAGCTGAGATAGAGCACCACGGGAGCCCACACGATGAACACCACGTACCTGCGGGGCAGAAGAGATGTCAGAGAGAATTCAAGCCAGCTCCCCCCCCGCCCCCAACCCCTCCAGGGCACGGTGCAGACCCCCGGGGGCTCACCACGCCGTCTTGGAGAGGTACTCGAGGATATCCGAGTGGAAGAGGCGGATGGGTCGATCCACGGGCTGGTGAACCCACTCGTCATACTTCTCCCCCAGGTAGCCCACTTGCCACAGCAAGGGCTTCCGCCAGTCCACCAGGTCCTGGGGGAGCAAGACAGTGGTTTGACCCCCAAACAACCCAGTCTACCAGGTCCTGGGGGAGCAAGACAGTGGTTTGACCCCCAAACGACCCAGTCCACCAGGTCCTGGGGGAGCAAGACAGTGGTTTGACCCCCAAGGAACCCACACACCGCCTGGTCCTGGGGGAGCAAGACAGAGATTTGACCCCAAAAGGACCCACACACCACCTGGTCCACCAGGTCCTGGGGGAGCAAGACAGTGGTTTGACCCCCACGGGACCCACACACCACCCGGTCCACCAGGTCCTGGGGGAGCAAGACAGAGATTTGACCCCAAAAGGACCCACACACCACCTGGTCCACCAGGTCCTGGGGGAGCAAGACAGTGGTTTGACCCCCACGGGACCCACACACCACCCGGTCCACCAGGTCCTGGGGGAGCAAGACAGTGGTTTGACCCCCATGGGACCCACACACCACCCAGTCCACCAGGTCCTGGGGAAGCAAGACAGTAGTTTGACCCCCATGGGACCCACACACCACCAGGTCCTGGGGGAGCAATACAGTAGCTTGACCCCCAAGGGACCCACACACCACCAGATCCTGGGGGAGCAAGACAGTGGTTTGACCCCCAAGGGACCCACACACCACGTGGTCCACCAGGTCCTGGGGGAGCAAGACAGTCGTTTGACCCCCACGGGACCCACACACCACTCGGTCCACCAGGTGTTGAGGGAGCAAGACAGAAGTTTGACCCCCAAGGGACCCACACGCCGCCTGGTCCACCAGGTCCTGGGGGAGCAAGACAGTGGTTTGACCCCCATGGGACCCACACACCACCCAGTCCACCAGGTCCTGGGGAAGCAAGACAGTAGTTTGACCCCCATGGGACCCACACACCACCCCGGTATAGGGCACAAAGCTGCGTCGCATCTGCAGGATTTGGGGCTGCAAACTCCTTCCCATGACCTTCTTACCCCAAGCAGCCCCAACTCACCCCCGTGCCAACGGGTACCTGCTGGGGTTTCAAGGTGAAGGCAGCTGTACCCAGACCTGGCACAGCCTCAGGCCCTGATAACCAAGGCTTTTTCGTGTCCCCCAGGAGCTGCCAAGATAAGATAGTGGGCAACCATACCCCCTGCTCGCTACCCATGCCAGCAAGCCACTAGTAGGACACAGAGCCCATCACCGTGGCATTGCCCCAGCCCAAGGGCTTTTTCTCCTTTGGGCAGCGAGGAGAGAAGCAGAAAAGGCTGAGGAGCAGGGAAAACGGGGTGGGAACCCAAGCCACCGCTCCAGTGGGTGGCTTCAAGAGCACGGAGGGACCCCACGTCCGCCTGGGACAAAAATGAAGAGAGACCCAACCGGCAGCACCACCCTCTGCTCAGCGTCCCCGGACACGTCTGCTGCCGGCCCGGCCGGGTGAGGTGGTTTCTCGGTCACAGCCCTGCCCCCGGGACAGAAACCGCGCTCGCCCAGCCGGGCCCCGAGCCTGGCACCTCGCCATCGGCCACCCCGCACCCCGGCACGGCAACCCCGGCACCCCCCGGCCCTGCCACCCAGGGGGGAGGCAGCTCGGGTCGGGGCATTTCAGGGCAAGGAGCAGAGGTGGGTATTTTAGGTAGGGATGGGGGTGATCACCCAGCCGGGCCCCGAGCCTGGCACCTCTCCGTCAGCCACCCCGCACCCCGGCACGGCAACCCCGGCACCCCCCGGCCCTGCCACCGAGAGGGGAAGCAGCTCGGGTTGGGGCATTTCAGGGCAAGGAGCTGAGGTGGGTATTTTAGGCAGGGATGGGGGTGATCACCCGGGGGGTGGAAAACCAACCCCACCTGGCAGCAGGTGTGTGGGACGGGGATGGAGACACCCTCTTTTTGGGGAAAAGTTATGGCAAAGAGGTCACTTTGGGGTGGCAGATTGGCTTTTGGTGGCGAAATATTAAGATGGGGAGGGGGGGTGAAAGGTGAAAGTTCTCAAGCTCAAAGAAAAACCCCATAAAAATAGTTCAGCAAGATAAAAGCGCGCTGGTGTGCAAGAGAGATAAAAAAAAAAAAGGCACGGGGGCCGGGGGGTGGTGCAGAGGGCAGGGACGGTGTCCAAAGGCACCTTGGGGAACAAATCCCTGCTTCCCCGGGGGTGTGCTCAGAGAGGAGCTTGGGCGAGGAGGGGACCACCCTGACCACATGGGGACCACACGGGGACCACCCTGCCCCGGGCTGGGGGATCCCTTAGTGCTCGTTACCAGCACTCGGTCAAGAGGCAAAAAAAGGAGGAAAAAAATAATAAAATAATAAAGCAAGGCAATAAATAAATAAATAAATAAATGAAGCAAGGTGTGGCTTTGGCAACACGTCCCGCTCGAAGGGCACAGCCGCTGTCAGAGAAAGCCATCTCCACCCACGTGGGAGCCTCCCAGCGCGGCTGCGCCTGGGCAATAAAGCCGGAGCGATGCCGGCTGCTCCGGGAGAAAGGGCAGGAGCAGCCGGATCAGCTCCCATCCCTCCCGCATCCCAGCGGGCCAGCAGAAAGCCAGGGATGCAGGGAAGAGGGGAG